TACCTGGGAAAGTCCTTACCTGGAGAGTCCTTACCTGGAGAGTCCTAACCTGGGAAAGTCCTTACCTGGAGAGTCCTTACCTGGAGAGTCCTTACCTGGAGAGTCCTTACCTGGGAAAGTCCTTACCTGGGAAAGTCCTAACCTGGAGAGTCCTTACCTGGAGAGTCCTTACCTGGAGAGTCCTTACCTGGGAAAGTCCTTACCTGGGAAAGTCCTTACCTGGAGAGTCCTTACCTGGGAAAGTCCTTACCTGGGAAAGTCCTAACCTGGGAAAGTCCTAACCTGGAGAGTCCTTACCTGGAGAGTCCTTACCTGGAGAGTCCTTACCTGGGAAAGTCTTTACCTGGAGAGTCCTTACCTGGAGAGTCCTTACCTGGAAAGTCCTTACCTGGGAAAGTCCTAACCTGGGAAAGTCCTAACCTGGGAAAGTCCTAACCTGGAGAGTCCTTACCTGGAGAGTCCTTACCTGGAGAGTCCTTACCTGGGAAAGTCTTTACCTGGAGAGTCCTTACCTGGAGAGTCCTTACCTGGAAAAGTCCTTACCTGGGAAAGTCCTTACCTGGGAAAGTCCTAACCTGGGAAAGTCCTAACCTGGAGAGTCCTTACCTGGAGAGTCCTTACCTGGAGAGTCCTTACCTGGAGAGTCCTTACCTGGGAAAGTCTTTACCTGGAAAGTCCTAACCTGGGAAAGTCCTAACCTGGGAAAGTCCTAACCTGGAGAGTCCTTACCTGGAGAGTCCTTACCTGGAGAGTCCTTACCTGGAGAGTCCTTACCTGGGAAAGTCCTTACCTGGGAAAGTCTTTACCTGGGAAAGTCCTAACCTGGGAAAGTCCTAACCTGGGATGTAGAGCTGTCTCATCTGTCTCTCTGTCTCACCTGTCTGTCTCACCTCTCTCTCTGTCTCACCTGTCTGTCTCTCTATCCTTCAGTGTCTCAGACTGAGAGGACACGTCCCCCCCTCAGCCGTCAGGTGACGGTCCAGAGGAAGGAGAAGGACTTTGAGGGGATGCTGGAGCTCCATCAGGACGACGAGGCGTTGCTGCAGAAGAAGCTCATCGCAGGTACCTGTCTCCATTGTCCTTTGTTTGTCCGCCACCTGTCCTCTGTCTGTTCTCTATCCGTCTCCGTTTCTCAGTGTCTCCCCCTAACATATGTCCTGTATTACAGAGATCAGACCCGGCAGTGTGTCCTCGTCTGTCCCCTGTCTCCCAGCCTACATCCTGTTCATGTGTCTCCGTCACGCTGATTATAGTAATGATGATCAGAAGGTGGAGTCTCTGCTGACCCAGTCCATCAACTCCATCAAGAGGGTCCTCAAGGTGAGACAGAGAGACACACACACACACACACACACACACACACACACACACACACACACACACACACACACACACACACACACACACATAGAAACAACACCCTGAAAGAGGGTTGCTAGCTCAACACCCACAGGTGTCTCCCCTGGTGTCCCTCAAGGCTCAGTTCTGGGTCCTCTTCATAATTTATTTCACCATAAGGTCCTCTTCCACTGCTGATGGCTGATTGTTTATGACGTGTTGTGTTACTTCCTGTTGTTTATATGTTGTGTTACTTCCTGTTGTTAACATGTTGTGTTACTTCCTGTTGTTTATATGTTGTGTTACTTCCTGTTGTTAACATGTTGTGTTACTTCCTGTTGTTAACATGTTGTGTTACTTCCTGTTGTTAACATGTTGTGTTACTTCCTGTTGTTTATATGTTGTGTTACTTCCTGTTGTTAACATGTTGTGTTACTTCCTGTTGTTAACATGTTGTGTTACTTCCTGTTGTTTATATGTTGTGTTACTTCCTGTTGTTAACATGTTGTGTTACTTCCTGTTGTTTATATGTTGTGTTACTTCCTGTTGTTAACATGTTGTGTTACTTCCTGTTGTTAACATGTTGTGTTACTTCCTGTTGTTGTTTGTTGTGTAACTTCCTGTTGTTTATATGTTGTGTTACTTCCTGTTGTTAACATGTTGTGTTACTTCCTGTTGTTAACATGTTGTGTTACTTCCTGTTAACATGTTGTGTTACTTCCTGTTGTTAACATGTTGTGTTACTTCCTGTTGTTAACATGTTGTGTTACTTCCTGTTGTTAACATGTTGTGTGTCTCTCTGCAGAAGAACTCTGCTGACTTTGAGATGACGTGTTTCTGGCTGGCGAACACCAGCCGTCTGCTGCACTGCCTCAAGCAGTACAGTGGAGAACAGGTGAGAGACACACAACACACACTACACAACACACACTACACTACACAACACAGCACTATACAGCGCACACTGCAGTGTGTGTTGTATAGTGTGTGTTAGTGTAGCAGGCCCCGCTATGCAGGGCGCGATGACAGATGATATTCCTGTAAAACAGGATGAGCAGAGAATTCCTTTTATCAAATCAAGGTTTATTTATAAAGCACATTTAAAAGCGATTTTTGGTGGGGCCAAAGTGCTGTACATGTAATAACTACAATCACATAAAAA